ATATATTGTAGATGGTATTGCAGTTATATTAACAGCACCATCTTTCTTTCCGAGTCTGAGCTCGGTCCCGCCCCCGTCATTTCTGTCCAATGGGAGCAATCGTCATCTGTGTGACTTCTTTGTAAATTATAGTCCACTTGCAAAACAAAGCACGATGTGAATGCAAACTGCACCAAAAGAAAAAAAATCAATCCACCTTTGGTCTAGACCAAACAAGTGGACCAAAGGTGTGAAACAGAAACCTCACAGAGAAAATAAAACTGCAAAGACTCCAAGTGACTCTAAACAGAGGATAATCCTTAAAGTTTACACACACCTTGAGCAGCAGCTGGTACTTGGTGATTCTCTGGATGGGTTTGATCAGATAATCACTGATGGACATCCTACAGCTGATCTCATGTTGGATCTCCTGCAAATAGAAAGAATGAGACAGAATACAAAACTTCAGAGTTTTTCCAGCATGAAACTTAAAAAAAAACATCTTTGAAACTAAAAAAAAAACAGTGACCAATAATCTCTGTTGAAAATAACAAGGAAATAAAATATAATATCGTTATAATTGTAAATAATTACCATGCCTTTTTTTTTATCAGAGATTTAGATTAGATTTTGAATAAGTAAAATAAATCTGAAAACGTGAAAAAAATGTAACTTTACCTCAAAAAAGTTTTCATATTCGATGACGATGAACTCTGACCTTGGTTTGTTCTGACAGTAAACTATATACATGTGTAGCCGACGTTCCTGCAAAATATACACACTTCAACATATCATAAAGTTCAAGTCTGACAGATCAGTTACTACAACAGCAAGAGATCAACCATCCTACTGAAGGAAATGTTGTGACTGACTAACTGAATGTTAGATCTAGTCTTGTTTTACACTTTCTGATCATTGCAGCCATATGGTTTAAACAATGAGAGACAATGGGTCTTATCATATGAGGCCTTTCTGTATGCATAAACAAAAGTTGGTTATGTTTTAACGTCTGACGTAAAAGCTACCACCTCCTGGGTTTTGACCAGGAAGTCAGACACATAAGAGGTTGATTAATTTTTATTCAGTTAGTTATTGAGTTTGCAGTCTCTCCTGTAGATCGGCCTGGGACAGCCTGGAGAGGGATTGTTGTTTTTTGTTCTGAAAAGGCTCATGGTCTTTCCTGCTGGCTGTGTGTCTGCTGGGAGCTGGTTGGAGTCCGATGAGAATAAAGTTTTTAGAAGAGAATCAACTTGTTTTCTGCTTTATTCAGACTTCAGACAGAATATGATGAAAGATCTGAAAACTGCTGTTCACACCTGCTCTCCATCTAATGACTCAGCTTGAGCTGTTTAGCAGAAGAATGGACAAAAATTTCAGTTACTAGATGTGCAAAGCTGGTGGAGACATACCCTAAAAGACTTGCAGCTGTAATTGCAGCAAAAAGTGGTTCCACAWAGTGGTAGCAGCATAACAGCTCAGTGGTCAACACTGTTGCCTCACAGTGAGAAGGTCCTGGGTTCGATCCAAAGTTCGGACCTGGGGGTCTTTTTGTATGGAGTTTGCATGGTGGGTTTCCTCTGGGTACTCTGGGTTTCCCCACACCCCGAAAATATGTACATTAGGTTACCTTCAGGCCCAGGCTGCCCTTGCAAAAGAAATCTGTGATCTCAGTGGGATCTGCCTGGTTAATTAATGGTAAAATAAATAAATAAATTGACTCATGGGGGCTAAAATCTTTTACACACTGCACTTTTCACTTCTTTATTTGTAAAAATGTTTTGAATTATGTATAATTTTCTTTCCACTTCACAGTTGTATCCTACTTTGTGTTGGTCTTTCACATTAAACACCAATGAAACATATTTCTATTTGTTTGTTGCCATGTGATAAAATATGGAAAAGTTCAAGAGGTATGAATACTTTTGAAAGCCACAGTATGTGCAACATTAGTGTAACTTCTGCAGAACTTATTCGTAGTATGTTAAAAAAAATGTAAATACACTTTGCCATCAACGCATGTTCCTATACAATGATGAAATTTGTGCTCTGTATTTGACACGTGAGAAAAAAAAGGATGCAACGATACAGAAAATTCACAATTCGGTTTGATACTGTAAGTATCAAATCGAATTGTGAATTTTCTGTATCGTTGCATCCTGACCAGCGGTCACTCTTTCAGAGATGAGGATGTTCTCATTCTTGATAGAGAGGAACGTTGGTTTGAGAGAGGAGTAAAAGAAGCCATTTTTGTGAAGAAAGACCGTCCATCATTAAAGAGAGGTGGGGGCCTCCGTTTTCAGCTGTCCCCCTCCTACAGCGCTGCCATTGGCAGTATCACTCCACCCCCTGTTAACAATAGGTGTTAATTAGGTGTGAACGATAGCCATGTGGTGTGAGTATCAGTCACCTGTGAACGATAGCCATGTGATGTGAGTATCAGTCACCTGGAGGCAGGACTCAAAAGCCTGAATTCTGCCTGAAACTCTCAGACTGAAGAATTCTCTTGGAAGAGAGACGAAACGTTTCATTAAAGAAGAACCCGTCCAGAGGACCTATACAATTTTTTTTCCTTCTCAAAAGTACAGTTTTTAAATTAAATGTTGCTGAAACAGCAAGTTTCTCAGTGGATCTGTGCTCAACAGTGTAGCCTAGGCGGAGTAGTCGAACACAGAGCGTCTCCAGAACACAAGTTGATAAAAAAATTGAAAAATCTGTATTGTTCCATATAATATGCATTGAGCCTAGAGCACTGTATTGACGATTCGATACAGACACATGTATTGTCGCGCTCTAATATAAGCCACTCGTTAATTCACATAAGTCAGAAACCAGCTGGGTAATTATGAAGCACATGAGTATGTTTTTTTAAAACCTATGAGCAACTTAGTTCTAATCTGTAATCTATATTAGATGTTTCCACAACACATTGTTATATCAGATCCTTAAAGTGCCTGTGATATGCTTTTCCTACAAATATAAAAAGTGAAAGAAATCATCTTTATTTATAAGAAATATGGAACAATGTGACATTTTTATGGAGGAATGATTTTACTCATTTTGTCACATGGCTGGCATATTTATTTTAGAATTTAACATGGCCAAAGTGGAACAGAAAGTGATGACAAAGAGGAACTCTTGAAAAGGGAACTCTGATCTTTGCTTATCGAAACAATTTTAGATGAAATCTTCCTCATCTTCGTCTCTCTCTGATAGTAATTTAAGAGAATCTAAAGAAACATGAGTTTCTTCACATGTATGAGTGTGATTTAAAGCACTGATTAGTCTCTATAGACTGATTTACCTGTATTAGCTTTGTACAGAGACATAGTAGATAGTTAAATGAATGTGTGTGTGAATGGGTAAATGAGGACACAGATTGTAGTGTAAAGTGCTTTGAGTGTCCTGTTTGATAGAAAGGCGCTCTGTAAGCACCATTTACCCTCAGGCTCTGAGTCCAGAAGAGTCAAGTTTAATCTAAGACTAAAATCCCAGTCCTACCATTGCTGCCCTGTCCGTACTGAACCACTGCGCCTTCACACTGTGTTTGTTTGTGGAACTCACATGTCTGATAAAGAGATCAGCCAGAAGGTCGTGGTTCTGGACACAACGCTCTAACTCCACCAAGAAAAAGCTGAAACACAAACAGTGAACATGATGATTTTTTATGGGTTAGTGTGTGGTTGAGTTGTTTTAGGTGTTTCAGTAACATACTCGCGATGCCAGTCGTAGATCTGCTGGATGTTCCCAAAGACGATCTTGTCTTTCCCTCTCATGTCCTCTGGAATTCCTCTGACCTCCAGCCTAGACATGAAGCCCTGAGAGACCACAGCCAGCTTCTAGGTCAGCAGTTATTAATAATTTTGTTACGTAAAAAAAGATCATGATGCTTTTAATCACCTCAACAATAACGCCCAGGTCCTTTACATAGTCCTTCTCTGACTGGATCATCTCATTAACAACAAACCTGCACAGAACCGTAGCTTATTGACAGCTGTTTATGTTTATTTTTTACTTATAACCTTTGTGCATATCTTACATTCGTCCTCTCAGGGCTTTGTTTCTCTGTTCTGTGTCTGACTCATTCGAACTCTGATCTGAATCCAAAGCCTAAAGAGACACAAGTGAAAATAATGACATTTAAAGTGTGATTTATTTTTGATCATTAAGCAGCACAGACATGTTGCATTTTAACAGTTTCAGTTGTTGCACAGTTGAGAACAAATATATAGAAGAGTTTCATGCTCTTCTTACCTCTGGGTTATTGGGGTCTTTGATAATCTGCATAGGAGGTGGTAGAGGGGTGTGGCTTTCCTCCTCAGGCTCTTCCTCCCCTCCACTGTGCACGACCTCCTCCTTCCTTGCCTTCTACAGAAACGAAGGATTATTTTTTTTTTGAATTTAGTTTTTTTCAGCATCACTGAAGTTTTGTGTTCATGTTTGTGTTTATTCACCGCTTGTGCATTGCCAGTTAGAGGCATGGCAAGCTCCGATCTGTTGTCCCGCCTCCTCGTTCTGATTGGAGGCTTTTTCTGTCCGTCAGCTTTTCCCTGACTGAGTCTTCGAACAGGACTGGTCAGCCAGCGCTGACACAAACAATTACACAACAAATTAAAAACTTATTAGATACTTCTAATGACTGAAGCACTAGTACTCTGTGAAAGACTTCTAACAGCAGAAAAATACTTTGAATTTCATGATTTTTGAATATTTGTAACCTTCAGGGTGTTTCCAGTCCCAGAGCCTGTGCGTTTTGGTCCTGGGGACCCCACAGCACCACCTGGAACCGCACCTGCTCCATAAGCACCTGGGGAGGTGGCATCTAATAAAACAACAATGGGTCAGTGAAGATCATTTATTCTGAATATGATTAGTGAGTTCTGTTCCCTTACTTTGACTGACAGGTTGATTCTGAAGTCCTGAACTCTCAGGCCCGTACAGACTGGGTTCTGCAGACACAGAAGGAACCAGATGATTATTGATCAGGATAATTACATTATTTTATAGCTAGAAACTTAACAGGGAATAACAGCATTTGTAGAAGTTTAGAAGAAAATAGAGAATAAAATATCTGCTTAGAAAGTAAAAATCATCTGACATAAATATACTGTATTCTATGGATATGACAAGGCCTGAAAGAAGAGAAAAGTTTTGAATGAAAAGAATGCAGAGGCTTCTGTGTTAGCGCAGAGGTAATAGGCATAGCTTATGAACTATGTGTGTGTATATATATATATAGCTTTATGACACGTTATATATTGCTATATATCTGGAAAAAATTAAGAGACCACTGCACAGTTTCCCTGTATTTGGTTGAAAACATTTCACCAAATATTGATTTCTGAACTGTTCCTGAGTTAGAACTTTAGTATTGTTGTAACTAAATGAATATCCATCCATCCATTTTCTGTACACGCTTCTTCCTTTTTTTTTTCCAGGGTTGCGTGGGTCATTGGTGCCCATATTCAGCAGTCACAGTGCGAGGGGCGGGGTACACCCTGGACAGGTCGCAAGTCCATCACAGGGCCACTAAATGAATATGAACCTGTTTTCTGTGAATTATTTGAGGTCTGACAGTGCTGCATCTTCCGCATCAGTTTGAGTATTTCTCATTTTCTGCAAATAAGTACAAACTTTTTGCTTGGAATTCCAGAGACATATTATCAGTAGTTCATAGTATAAAATAACAAAATTCATTTTACTCAAACATATACATATAAGAGTAAAATCATAGAACCTTTAAAGTGGTCTCTTAATTTTTTCCAGAGCAAATGTTTATATTAATTTGTTGCTAACAGGTTAAAGTGCGGTTCTCCAATCCATGAAGCAGCTCTGTTGTCCTCCCTCCACAGTTTCAGTTACAGGCTGAGTCATTTCTACCTTCTCCTGTCTGTCAAGGAGCTCTCTGGTTTCATTTAAAGGGCTGGTCGTCAGATATTGTCCAAGATTAACCTTCAGGGTGGATAAGTGCGTGCACAGCCTCGCACTGGGAAAACTAGTGAATATCATTTACCTGGTATACTTTGCGGTGTGACAATATATTTTTTTAAGAAAAATTTTACAGCCTCCAGATTTTTTACAGTTTGTTTTACAGTTTACATAAATGTTTATCAAACAATTTCTAATGTTGCAAGTAATCAGGGATCCCTTGAAAGTCTTGCAGGTTACTTAGGTTTTATATATATATATA